CCCGGAGCTGTGTGTCAGCCTGTGCACCGTCTGGCTGTCCCGGAGCTGTGTGTCAGCCTGTACACTGTCTGGCTGCACCACAACTGTGTGTCAGCCTGTACACCGTCTGGCTGCCCCGGAGCTGTGTGTCAGCCTGTGCACCGTCTGGCACTGTGTGTCAGCCTGTGCACCGGCCGGCTGCCCCTTCAGGAGCTCCCCTCCCTAGTGGCGGCAGGCTTCTGCGCCCCGTTAGTTTCAAACTTGTGTTAACGGGAAGCTTGGAGTGTGAGCGATTTTTGGGGTATAAGTAAATTATTATTATTAACTTAAATGATAGCTATTAACAAGTAATGATTACTGTTGAAATTGTAGTCAAAGGCCTTCTAAATGCCACCACTGTGCCATAGGAGCATAACCCTTGCACTGGGCTGTGAACATGAGAAAAAAGCATGATTTAATGTATGAAGACCTTATCATGTATAATGGATTTCTTCTGACTTTCGGTTTTTTGGGTTTTTTTTTTTTTTTTTTTTTTTTTTGGTTTTTTCCTTTTTTTTTTTTTTTTTTCTGCTTTGGGAGTTTCCTGAATGTGCCTAAAATAGGAGCTATTGTATCCCCCTGTTTAAAAAGGAACTTCTCTGCTACTCAAAGTTCAGAGCAACTCCCTGCAATTTCCTCCTCATACCATTCCTGAGGTCTTCAGTTTGCTTTATTTAATTGATATGGAGAGATCCTATTCTGTAAGAGAGTACTGTGGTCCCGGTGTGCAGGGAGGACCGGTGGAGAAGCCGGGACACCGTGCACCTGCACGAGTCTGCCCATGATAAGCCTTAGCTGCAATTTCTTACCTCACCTTTTGCTGAGAGTTCTAAATGAGTGTGACTAGGGCATGATTAACTGAGTATCTTCCTGTAACTTCTTTTGTGAGTGGGAGCACTTTGTTACCTTGCATTATGTAAGCTGGCATGCTGCTGCTACTCTGCACATCTCAGTCCACATGCTATAGATTGGCCTAGAGAAAAAAGATTCCAGATTCCAAAGAACTTAGAGTTGAAAGGAAGAGGTGATGGTGCTTGGACAGCTGGAGAGGGTAATTGTGGCTACAAGTATCATAACATCCTCCTTTAAGGAAAACCGTAGCTAATTCTGTTGTCTTCTCTGTAAAACTTTGATTCTAAAGTGGTTGATTAGGGCAGGAGATCGGGAATGCAAACACTTTACTGTTCACTAAACTGTATAGCTGTGGTTTCACACCATGTTCTTGTTTATATGCTTGCATTATTGCTGTTACATGTATGTTGACTATGTGTAAATGTTTCATGTTAATTTTAACAAAATAATCCATCATCTCTCTTTGTGAAAATCAAGACCCTGAAAGTCAGACTGATCTGCCCAAGTGCATGAAGTAAATCAGTAGCAGTTCAATTTGGCATGTCAGTTTCTAGCCATGCAAACACCTGTTCTGTACACCAGGATGCTGTTGATAGATCCTTGTCCTTTTGTCAGCCTTCCCCTCCAGGATCTTTTCTTCATCCAGATTCAAAGCACTGCAGTTATCCCAGTCACACTTCTGAATGTCTGGAGTAGGGGAGAAGATGTCCCTCTTCATTCCCTTGTGGAAGCCAGGATTTGCAGTGTAGCTTTGGTGTCCAGAGTTCCTCCTTGCCACGTCAGGATTCCTGCTTTTCACAGTGTCAGGCCAAATCAGTTTTTTATCTGATGAAACCTTAGACTTGTCAATTACAGCACAAAACCTCACCTCAAGGCTATCGAAGGACTTTCATTTTAGACCTACCAAGAGCATGCTTGTTCAGTTGTTAGAAGTTCAAGACAAAGCTCTGTTCAGATTTAGGATCCTGGATATTGTATGTGGCTGGAAGGAAAGTCAGTGTGGTATCTGTGGCCTAGTTTGGTGAAGGAACAAAGAGAGAGATCTTTTTGTCCTCCCTGTGGAGGAGGTGAATAAATAATACCACACCAACAGGGGGATCACAGTGCAAGCCACACTGGTGAGGATGTTCTATTGCAATGCAGATGGTGACCAAACTTGCTTTAGCTGCATCAAGATCCTGCCCCAAAAGCAGAGGGGATATAGGAAGTAAGCTGGATATGTGAACTAGAGCATCTAGCAGCATCCTGCATCTGTAGTAAGGCTCATCTGAAAGTCACACACCTCTTTCAGTGTTCTGTGCATCAACTCTTTTTTTATGCAGTATTAGTTCTTGCCTTCTAGTTCTTGCATATTTAGATATGTTCCCTAATGCCATTTTCATTGTATGTTTGCATTAATGGTTGCTTTCTCAATTTAACTTCTTTATAAAAATTGAGCTAAACTGAGAAAACCTGGTTCACTAAAAGCAGAAGTTGCCATCTCCAGTACTGAGCATAGACTGACAATCTGAGAGTTGATAAAAATTATTTTTCTTTCAGACTTCTTCTGAAAGTGACCAGCATAGAAACCAAATTTCCCTCAATGTGGATTTTTGTGTCTATGTCATTAGGCAGTTCAACAAGTTTGGGCTTGCTGGTTTTTTTCTTACTATTTTTAAATTTCCTGTCTTTTTTTTTTTTTCCTCTGTACACACAAATATATGCTCCTTTCTGCATTTTTATAGATCAGAAAAACACTGGGGTTGCTCAATGTTTCTTCTGTGTCTCTCCATTCCATGAGAGGTGCCATAGGAACTACACTACAAGGCATTGCGATGAATGTGGGAAAATCTGGACTCCTTACAAATTCAGGTTGTTTGTGGAATGTCGTTATTTTGTGTGTTGCTACTAGAAATGTCAAACACAATATTAAATAGTATAAATGGAAAAATCAGTTATCAGCACTGTGAAGCTGTCACGTGCTTATGTTGTCCTGTCCCCTTACTCTTGAATCTTCCTGAATAAACAGAGGAATTATAATCAGTTATAAATTCCTCACACAGAGGGAAAAAAAAAGTCAAACTAAACCTTTGCCCTCTGCTTAAAAACTCTTGATGAGAGCTGAGGTTGTTATGTCATATTAAAACAAAAATGAAACAATATTTTTGCCATTGCTATTTAACACTACAGAATGAACAGAGTGAATTTTTTGTCAGATAGTTTCTTGCCTTGATGTAATTAATGGTCTTATACTTTAGAAAGCCAAGATTATCTCTGGATTACATCCACAGACTCCTTTGATCCTGGGTGTGTTAAAGGTTTTCATTAAAAATGGGTGTAAGTTTGTTTATTTTTGTTTTTTTCCTTACTGTTTCTCCTATCTGTTCTCAGCCTCAGGAGAGCTTTTTGGCCATGTTCAGGGTAGTGTGACAGTGGGCTGGCTGGCTGATACAGGGTTTGTAAGAGACAGAGGTTGTAATTTGGAGTCTGTTTAAGCCGGTGTTGCCACAGGTTGAGAACAGTTCCTGTCCATGGCATCAGTTTCTACTTTATAAGTAGAACTGCAAAGATGATCTGTCTGAAAATGAACACGACTGAAGGAAAGAGTTAGCAAGACAGATTATTTTCTTAGTGCTGTTGATCACAGAGCCTACATGAAGATGTACTTGTACAGCATAGGAAGTGACCAGAGGATTTGGAATAAGTGACCAGAGGATTTGGAATCATAGAATGATTTGAGTTGGACGAGACCATAATGATCATCCAGTTCTAACCCTCTGCCACGGGTAGGGACATCTTCCACTAGACCAGATTGCTCAGAATGCCATCCAGACTGGCCTTGAACACTGCCAGGGATGGGGCATCCATTCTCTGGGCAACATGGTCCAGTGTCTCTGGACTACTTTCAAACAACTGCTTTTTTTTTTATAGTTCAAGGCAGGCTTAAATGCAAGTCAGTTCTGTCCCTAAGCAAAGCCTAGAGACTGTAATAATCAGTAATCTGCAGCACTCAATGATCCTTCATAATATTTTACCAGTGCTAAAAGTGGTGATTCCCAGTCCTCTCCCTCCCTGGCCTGTTCCAGTGCCCAACCACCCTCTGGGTGAAGAACCTTTTTCTAATATCCAACCTAAGCCTCTCCTGACCAGCTTCAGGCCGTTATTCTGGGTCCTGTCACTGGTCATCACAGAGGATACATCAGTGCCTGCCCCTCCTCCATGCTCTCACTCTTGTTCTTCCGTGTTTTGCTCACATCTGCTCCATTCCATGCACAAGCACTGGTGTTCCCACAGTGAGTCACATCCAGAAACTGCAGTCCTTCTGTGGTTTTTTGTTGTTTCTTTAG